TTATGATACTGACTTAAGGTGAAACTCTTGACAGAAGATTTATTTGTTATCTCCATGTGTCTAATGCCTCATCTCTCCTCTACCCTTTGGGGTGAGTGTAGAGTTAACTCTTGATGAGCAAAACCCTAGCTGGCCTAGAATGTTTATAGAAGCAAAATACATGTATATTGAGTCTTGCTCACCCCCTTATATTTATTGCCATTACTATTAAGACTGGAAAGAGACAATGCAAAGTCAACATCCACTTTCTTAGAAAACAAGTCTTGGCAGTCCTCATATACCAAGAGAATCTAATGTGCTCCTTATCTTTGAGAAGTTATTGCTACAAATTTCCTGCCCCTTGATACTCATGAAAATGGTAAAAATGTATGCAGGCACTGTGCAAGGAACCTATCATAGACAACTTATTCCTCACAACAACAAGAAACCACTCAAGCCAGCTAGTAAGTTAAATTGCTGGCATCCATTTCTGTGTGATGGTATTTTTTAATTTTAAATTTTGCCAGTCCTAGGAAATGAACTCTGGTCCTGGGCACTGTCCCTGACATTTTGTGCTCTACCACTTAAGCCACAGTTCCACTTCCAGATTTGGGGTGGTTAACTGGACAACGGAGTCCCATATACTTTCTTGCATGTGCAGCTCAAATCAGGATCTTAAGATTTCAGCCTCCTGAGGAACTAGGATTACAGGCATAAGCCACCAGCATCCACCTCATGCTATAGTGTCTTTGACACTGTGTGTTGGTTATCAGGAACAGAGCACTCTATGGAACTATACAAAATTAGTAGAAATGTGCTTCTACCTCAATGAGCACTATCAGAATCTGGCTCTGTGTCATAGATGCAAAGCATCACAATAGATTAAGGCCAAGTCATTCATGTTTTTTTTCTACAAAAAATTCCATATCCAGGTCTGCTATACAGTATATGATAACCAACATGAAGTTAGGATAGGTGAAAATGTTGTACAGATGCTACACACTATTATTTCCTTCTCCCTGACTAACATGAAGGATTTTTTTGACCCAAACAATAGTCAGAAAACTAACAAAACACTAGGTATTTCTGAACAAGCCCATGAATATTCATTCTAATCACTGTACTGTAATTATTTAGTAGTATGTACAGCCAGTACAACATGAATTCTAAAGTTACAGATTGAAAACAAAACATCATTTTTAACAAAATAACTAAAGATAATGCGTACTGCCTTCTGGATAAAAATTAACTGTTCTATAATAAAACAGATATAAAGAAAACACATAAAAGGTAAGTTTTAGAACTTAATGTCTATTTCTACAAATATTAGTCAAGAAAATACTACTTATGTTATTTGACTATATAGATTCAAATCATTACTTTCCTTATGACTAAAGACCAGTAAAACATGAGCCCACCAAATTTCTTCTCAATGTTTTATATAATACAATAGATTTTTAATGCATCAAAATGCTTTAGTGATTTTACCATGAGAAAAGAGTAGTAGATTCTTTTGTTATTTTTAATTTTACTATTCTAACTATCAAATAGGATAATATTTTTGGTTTGAACTAACTGCTGCCCCAAATCAAATACCAATCAGGATCTAAACACAAAACAAAAAATTGAACAGAGATACCAAATGAGTAACGTATAGCAACCCTACTTATGCTTACTTAAAATGATCCCAACTTAAAAGTTTGTTACTATCAGTAACAGTCATTTTATTTTTCAGAACTATTTAAAGTATTCCTCAATTCAATCTTTATGTTTCTAACACTTTTAATGCACTTTTAATGCAAAAGTATAGAAATAATACAATGGGGAAAAACACAGATGGGATGTTCAACAAATTTCAAATGTACAGACAAGTGCAGGTCCCACTCCAAACCTAAAACAGGATAGTGTTGCTTGGAGACAAAGCAGCATGTCCCTGGTTACATTGCAATCTAAACATCAGTGAGAGAGAGGTCACCTCAGCTTCAGAAATGGCTAGGACAAATATTAAAGGGCATGTTTATCTTTTTCAGTCGTCAACAATTTTTATTCTAAGTCAGTTGTCACATGCTGGCTTTTATTACCATTTAAACCTAGGAAAGAGAGGAAAGACAGTTTACGAAGCACATCTAATGGGAAATGGAGAGGTAGAATCAAAGCTTCTTTAACTAGAAGACTGAAAACTGGTCATGTGTAATTAAGTATATGTAATGTGTCTACTCTGCTCTTGTATAACCTCCCAGTTGCTATCTGTCTCCCTTTCTTTCATTAAACTAAAGTAGTTAATTAGCCTAGGCCTGTCCTCTCCCCTTTCTCTTTCCCTTTTCACAGTAATAATGATGTCTAATTATCAGTAGCAGTGGATTACGGCAACATCAGGAGCAAAGCATCCCTCACTTACAGCAAAGCCAGCCAAGCACCTTGAAACCTCAAGCAGCTTAGAGCCATTCTTACTCTACTTGAAAATAATACTGAAATACAACACTTCCTTTTAACCAAACATGCTTTTGAGGTAAATAAAAAATACACTTTTTATTTCCTCGATGATTTTATTCCTGCTATTATGAGGACAGATCAACATGTTCTTAAGGAAGAAATAATTTGAGATATGGGAAAACAGGATAAAAAAATCCTTTCCTTATTTGAAATGATGATTGGCTGTCTCTCAGAGAAGGTGGAGCCTATAATTCTGTTAGGAACAGTAGAGATTTTTCAGAAAGAAGCTGTAGTCAGTTCATGAATTATAAACAGGCTTCAATGTTTCAAATCAGGCTTGAATGAAGAACATTCTTAAATACTACATGAAAATCATTATCTAAGAATATCACCTGACAGATGACATTGTCTCCCATAAATATATGGAATCTTTACTGAAAATAGAAACACATGACACATTATTACTACTGGAGTTGTCACTATAATAGATGTCTTAGCAGTAGCTCTTTAACAAGTCAGCATTAATTTTTATATGAAATATAGTTATCAAACCAGGAATGCAGGTTTGAGTAAGTGACATTTGTGGTCATCTTGGTGCCTCTAGAACCATTTTAGCATCTATGCTATTTAGAATTGTAATTGGTGTTTTAAAAAGACTCACACATTAACACATATGATAGACATACCCAAATCTACACAAGTACAAACTCATTTGACCCATATACAAGTAAAGCTATCTGACAGCTAAACAGAGGGCCCTTAGATTAACATCAAAAGCAAAAAAAAAAAAGGCTACTAGCTAGCAATGTTTTCCTAAAGCCTATATGAAATTATTAAATAATACTTCAAGTAACTGTATCTTAACTGTTTTATTCATTCAGCTGGAATTCTAATTTACTTTCCCAAACAATAGATTATTTTATCTGGCACATTCTTAATGCTACTCCAAATATAAATGAATCAAAGCAATTCATTCTGTACAACAGACTTCTGGCTCATGCAGATGTAAATAAACCTCAAGTCTAATTCATGCCAATCTAGCCCTCATCACTTAGCAAGGCAAGACAATAATCTCATCGTTGTGTTTAACCATGTCACTTTAAAAGAGAAGGCTACATTTATAAAGATAACCTCTCAGAAACATTCCAACAATAGCACATCTAAATAATAAACTTTTACATGTGTTTCCCCAGTTCTTTATTTCCATTCCCCATTTGCCACGGGAATTCCAAAAGAAACGTACATCCTCCAAACAAACAACTACACCTAATTAATTTTGGGAAATCATAAACTGTTTCGTGCAAACCTGAAAGAGTCTTCCAAATAATGCTTTGAGAAGCTGTACCTGCCCATATTTCCAGGTGAAGGTACCTCTGTGAGAGATAGCATCGCCTTCCAGAGCCTCCTCTCTAGCCTCCTCCAGGAATATTGCACAAGGAAACAGTTGCCAGTAGGGGAGGGGAGAAAGGAGGAAAACGCTCAACAAATCCCAGAGCGAGGCAAATATACAAAGAGTGTGCATAGCTTCCCCACCCCTACTCCAGGCAAGCACACGCCTTAGCAGGAGGCAGAAAGGTCTTACGCCTTACATCTGCAATCCTACTTGGAGCCCCTAAAGCCCATCTTCTTCCTTCGAAAGGAAACCAAGGCTGCTGCCTACTCACCAGCCCTGCAGGCTGACGCCTGATGCCCGTGGGGCTGAGTTATGTTAGGCTCTCCTCCCATCAAAGCGCTTGGCTAAAGCTTTGTGGCCAACAGACCAGAGCCATCCCAGGAGAAACAAATACACACACTATTTGATTGCGCCCCAATTCATCTCTCTTTGTTGTGCCTCGTCTAGCTGTGGCTTTATTTGTGCAAATGGCAAGGAAGGAAAGGGGTGGAGGGAGAGCTCCAGACCTTATCTACAATGGAAATGGTCGTAGCAAGGATCTCGGGGATTGATCCCGGTCCCCGGACTGTGGGATGTCTCCCTGGCAAAGGTCTAACAATAACACCTTGACAGTGTCCTGGGGAAAAGCCCCACAATCACGGCTAACCGCGCCACACTGGGGCTTTTGTGCCAATGAGGAGACACTGGAGACTATTGATCCCAGTCATCTGTTCACAGAGCGAGCGGCTTGGAGGGGACGGGGGGGGGGGGGCGAAGAGAAGTGTTCCAACCTGGCCTTTATGCGCGGTGGTGGTGGCGCCAGGACACGCGCCAGGCACCCCGCGTAAAGACGTGGGACAATGGCCCAAGCCCGAGGACGCAGGGACGTGGGACGCTGGTGCTGCTGCCGCCGCTGCTGCTCAACCCTGGAAGAAAGCTCCTGCTGCGGGGGGTCGCTGAAGCCCGAAGGCTGGGAGGCCCCGTCCGCGCTTTGGAGGTGCGCTACCGCTTTAAAATAAAGGACCACAAAAGACTCGCTCCTCCGGTGGGGAAATTGCGCCTGGCTAATGCGAGTGGGGATGACTTGGGGAGGGGGTTGAGGAGGGTGGGGGCACACGAGCCAACAGTGGCTCAGGGCTCCCTCCCTCCCCCCCCTTCCTCCCTCCCCGCCGGGCTGCACTGGCAGACAAATAACAGAGGAAGGCGAGTCACTCACCGTGGTCTTGACCGGCACGTAGAGCACTTGCTTGGCGCAGCCGCCTCCGCCGCGGACCTCGTCCGGCTGGCCCAGCTGGAAGCCCTTCGATTTGACCCAGAATTTAAATTTGGCGTTATCCGTGGAGCTTGACTCGGAGCCGTTGAGGAGCTGGGCGATCCGCTCGTATTTTTTACGGGTCACCGTCTTGGTCTTGCCTGAGTCCCCGTAAGTCCTAAGGCACCAGTCCTGGAACTGGCGGTACATGTCGCGCTCGTTCTCCATGTTCCCTGCGCCCGGCCGCCGGCCCGAGGCTCCCGGAGCACTTCGCACCTGTTCACCCCAGGCTCATGAAAAATGTAGCCCAGGCCACGATGCAGGGACACGCGAGGTCCCGGCCGCCACGGGATGGAGGGTGGGGGCGGAGGGGGGGGGGAAGCCTGCTTCGGCTGGGAGGGGTGGGGGCAGCCGCGGGAAGAAGGGAGGAGGAAGGTCCGGTTGGGCACCAGCAATCGATGCCCAGTGCTACCCAGTCTGGTTCATTCGTAATGGTAATGGATGTCTCGGATGGACGCTTTTCTTGGCCCCTTTAGTATTGTGTGGTCAGGACCATCCCAACAGCATCTGGCCCCCAGGAGTTGGGCTTTTGAATAATTAAAATCGCATTCCTTGGTTTATTAAAAAAAAAAATCCCAATATTGACTTGAGATGGTCCCTCGACGCCTCGTCCCGGGCTGTGTCCGGGGCAGGGCAGGTGGAGCGCAGCGCCGCCGCCTCCTCTCCCCGCGCGCGCGCGCTCCCGGCCGGCTTCCGGGCGGCTGGCCCCGCGGTCCAGGAGCGGTGCCTCTCCGGAAAGCAGCTGCCCAGCCCGAGTGCGAGTGCCCAAGAGCGCAGTAAGGGCACCCGGGTCTCCCCTCCCTGTCCCCCCCACCCTCTCCCCGGGCTGTCGCTCCTCCTGGGTCCTACTCGTCTTTGGCCTTCTCTGTGACAGGCGTTCAGGAACCAGAAAGAAAGTTCTTACCTGTCTCGTGTGCCCGCCTATCAAATGTTGTTTTACAAGATTTTTGAGATAACCAAGGTATTCTGGACGTGATTTTAAAATGTCATTTCTTCAGATGTACTGGGCTAAAATTCCAGATCCCTCCATAATATGGGTCCTAGGAGTGAAGTCCCCGAAACGTGTTGAGCAGTCATGGAGATGTGGCCACAGTTCCATAGGATGGATGTAGTTAACCCCCGCTCCCCGGGGGAGATCTTCTCCTGGGGAGCCGTAGAAAAAAAACGCTGGCAGGCCGCCGGCAGCGGGCCTCCTGGATAATGGTGGGATCCCCACACAGGACTCCTCTGGCTTCTGCTGAAGTGGTACAAGACATAGAAGTAAGTTTATGCTCCAGATGCTCGAAACCTTCGGCATGGAAGGAAAATCATTTCCCCCCCTGGCTGGGCCACAGTTTTCAGTTCAGACGGGAGCTTTCAGGTTGTCTGTTTCCCCCCCTGCCACGTCATGGACACCCCCTCCACCGCTCCTAGAGGAGACAAATGTTGAGTTCCTCAGGACGATCCCCCCCCCCCCTACACACACACACAAGCAAATAAAGAAGTCAGTGGTCTCTCCATTCAGGACCTCCATCCATCTGCCACAGGGCTGGAAATAGGGGAGTTCCCATCCTCCTCGCGCAGTGGCTGTGGCCGCTCCTCTTTATTCTACTCTCCGCCGAGGAGGCCCCGCGCCCGGTCCCAGGGAGCGGCTCTGGCAGCCGCCAGACGGGCCCCGGCCAGTGCCCTGCGCCTGGTCCGCCTCCGATCCCGCCACCTACGCCACTCGTCCCGGTCTCCCCCTACGAACGCCCCGAGTGGGAACACGGAGTATTTGTGCCCCACCGCGCCGCAGCTGGTCCAGACACTTGCAAAAAAAAAAAAATGGTCAGTGGCTCCTTCTCGGCCAGGCTGAGTGTGTGCGTGTGTGTGCGTGCGTGTGTGTGCCAGGGAGCGAGGGTGTGCAAGGGGGTGCGCTGCGTGTGTGTGTGTGCGCGCGCGCGCGTCTCCGGGAAGGTCTGGCAGCGGCGGCTGGAGCCGGGACTGACAGCCCGGGCGGAGCGCGAGCAGCTCCACACACTAAACCTCTCGCCTCTCCCCTCACCCCCACCCCTCCCACTCCCCTCTCCTCCCACCCCCACCCCTCGGCCCTTTCCAAGCTCTCTGATTGGCCAGTGGGACAAAAGTTTCTGTGGAGACGGCTGGGCGCTGACGTCACGGGCAGAATTGTCCCATTTAGGGATCCCGGGGGCAGTACGCATGCTGCGGCCTGCAGGTTTGAGGCAGGAGGAGGTAGCAGCGGGCCGGGCGGCAGCCAGGTGGCAGAAAGGAGCACACAGCATCCAGGTGGGGGGAAATGACTCCAGCAGGGTTTCCATGGAGATTTCCTCTGGGTCTAGCCTAAAAACAGCAGATCAGCTGACACCATTAGCTCAGGACCTAATTACTGCTTATTGGAGCAACAAATGAGGGAGAGGGCCAGCTGCAAAGGAAGAGTTTTATCCCCCCACCCCTCCCTGCATCTCCTCTCCCCCTCTCTCCATTGCTCTTGAGTCCCTAGTGAATTCTCATTAACTTGCAAGATTCCTGCAACAACAGCTCTGCTTCTCCTGAGGCCACCCTGGCTGCTCTTATTCTATTTCCTTCTTTTGTATTAAAAAAAAAATGGTAAAACAAATCAGTGGTCCTGAGTCCTTCCCTGTTTTGTCCAATAAATATTACATCAGGAGAACTCAGAGAAAGCACTGTCAAATAGAAGCCACAAGTAAAGCTAATGCGTGTGTATGGAGAGCGGAATGTGTCACTTAGAATTTATTGAATCAAATATTTACTTGTGGGCCTTTCACATTGAAAACAGTATTAGGATCTTAAACACAAGATATATGGAACAACAACAACAAAAATCCTAGGCAGTAGAGTAGTTGAATTGACTTTCTAAATGAGTGGCAACTCTGTAAAAGTTTCCCCTTATGGTATCAAAGATAAGGGACAATTCCAAGTTAGCAGGTCTTAGTTTGTTGTATATTGGCCATACTAACAGTTTCTGGGCAAATAACTGGTGTAGGAAGATATTTATATATTAAGGAAAAAGCTAGTCTGAGAGAATTTACTTTCTCCAGTGGTTTTATAACTTACAAGTACAAAATGTTTTTGGTAGCCTTCCTTTATTGACCATTCAAACTAAAATAATCTCTCCCCTAACCTTCTCTCGATAGTGTCTTGAAAACAGTTTTAAACACTGATTCACAGTGGGACAAATAATAATTTGTGCTTACATGTATCTATCCTCCACAAATTCATGGGAAATGTATATTTTTAAGCCTGGGAAATGTATTTTGTTATACATCATATACAGTGATATTTGTCTTTGTTTCCACTTATTTTATTTGGTTAAGGTTTAGTGACAATCATTACATTTATTTTATAACCCAGCACAGCTTGATCAGCAGCCTACAACTTGAAAAAAAATTGTTTCTGATCACTGAACTCTTATCATTCCTTGTGCTATATTTCCACTGAGGTAGGTTTTGTTGTTCAAATAGAGTCTTGGTTATATTTTTGTTGTTGTCAGAAATGGTGCTTGAACTCAGGGCCTAGGCACTGTCCCTTAGCTTTTTCCCTCAAGGCTGATGTTCTACCACTTGACCCAGGTTCCATATCTGGCTGTTTTAGTGGTAAGTTGGAAATAAGAGTCTCATGAACTCTCCTACTACAGCTGGATTTGAACTCCGAAACTCAGTTCTCAGTCTCCTGAGTAGCTAGGGTTATAGGCATGAGTCACCAGCACTCAGCAAGTTTATACTTTTCAAGTCACTTACAAATAAAGGATTTCAGCAAAATAAGCAATGCACACAGTACATGCTAAGTAAATCGATACTGTGTGCCTAAACTAGGGACAAAAGTAAGGGAAAAAGAAAAGAAGCATTCAATGGCAAGCCTGGCCCGTTCCTGTTGGCTTTTGTTGGATGCTGTTTCAATGAGGTTGGTCCTCACTTATGGAAATGTCAGGGATTCACCACAACCATGTGTGTATTACCATTATGCTTGACATCCCAATGTATTGAAGTTAGAAAACTCTCAACATAAAAGACTAACAGAATCGAAATAAATGTCCCATCACCCAGCCCTGTATTGTATTAACTAGGTTTAATATATAAGGCAAAATAAAACCCCACACTATGAGAGTACATCCTGCAAAATGAATTTTTGAGGACAATGTAATTATTGAAAAAATATTCAAATTGGAGCAAAGGAACAGAGTGTTCCAGGACCTCGGGGCTGATCTTCTAAAAGCCCTGAGGATTCCCTTGCGTCCAGTAGAACTCAAAGTGTAGCCTGCTCTGTACTTGTAGGCATTATTGACTAAGATGGCTGAGCCAACTCCTCTGGCATATCACGGCCATCTCAGAGCCAAAGCAATGGACAAAATCTAAAATCTGTGTCAGAGAATCACTTTGGACTCATTTTCCTCATTTTCACTTCTTTACAGTTTTCTTACCAGCTCTGCCCCAAGGTTCATCATCTGCCTCTTATTCAACAAGGTAATCCTATTGAACAGGCTGCCTTGAATTTAACTTAGCCTCTTCTTCAGAAGTGTCTCTGCCAAGAGTATCTTGGTAAATATGTAGCTCTTCACTCCATGTATTAACACCAATACCCATCTGGGTTTGACCTGGGTCCAGAGTCCTGCCTATTTGGCAGGCAGAGAAAAATTGGAGAGAAGAGTTTGATAGACAATAGTATATTGAAAATTATATTTTAATTCTAAAATTAAAAAATGAGCAATCAAAACTAGTTTGTTATAAAAGTTACACTTCTTTCAACCTCATGGTCAACTTGTATATAATGTCTTTTAGTATCAATCACAGATATTCCTGCAACACTAGATTCATCAGCTAAATGTGAAAATGCAAATTACATAGTAATCATAAAATCAATGTTCAACCAATAAACCTTTTATAAATGCACCTATGCAAGTATTCTTTCACCTGGTACCATTGGCTCATGCCTGTAATCCTAGCTACTCAGGAGACTGAGATCTGAGGATGGCAGCTCAAAGCCAGCCCTGCAAAAAAGTCCATGATACTCTTAACACCAATAAACTACTAGAAAACCAGAAATGGCACTGTGGCTTCACCGGTAGAGCTCTTGCCTTGAGCTGAAGAGCTGAGGGACAGCGCCCAAGCCTAGAGTTCAAGCCCCGTGACAGAAAAAACCAAAAACCAAAAAACAATCTTTCATTCTAAAAA